ATATATCAGTACACGTATATAGGGAGTAGAGCAAAAGAGCGTACTTTGCATCATTGTGAACATAGACAGGCTCCCAGCGAATGGCTTTCTATTATTATTATTATTATTATGTTTAGAACAAAAATAATAATAGTGAATGCTAATTGTCGATTATTGACGTGCGGGCCGCACTTCACCAATTTGTATTTTGCGTTGTATATACCATTACGATGAAGTTGACGGAGCGCGGTTAAGATGAAAACGGAATGGACGACGTTGGTCATAGAAAATCCATACTTGATGGCGATAATGCAAATAAGAAATGTCCAATAAACACTCCTATTAATATTCTAAAATACTCTTCGCTCGAGTACTTATTTATATACTGTGGTGCTACTAAGATCAACGGGTGAGCGTTTTTGTGTGTTAAGTTCGAAATAATAAAGACAACAAGGGTGGTACAAGGAGCATCTTAGCACATGTCAAACCGTTTATTAAGCAGTCCAATATCTATGTCATGCAAAGGGCGTGTTAAATATAGTGCCTTGCTTTTTAAATGTACACATCCACGCGTACGCTTTTTCCTTTCATAAAACGACTACAGTAAAATTCCTGTAACAATGTTCTAGGCTTGACAAGAACGTATAGGCACTCCTGAAAACTGCCAAATATCGCGTTCTATAGTGCAAAGCTTGATCTAGTTGTAATAAATCAGTGTTGATAAAATTCTGCGTATATGATAATTATTCATTGTTCAGATTAGCACTACAGTGGAAGATACGTTAAGACATTTTTGCTTGTTTTACGCTCTCGAAAATTAAGCCTAGAACCTCTTCGGCACTAAACATTATGGGCAAGTATCCGACTTACACACCGCATTTACTAAGAGCGAAGTAAAAACTTACTCAAGATCTCATCTGAAAAAAAGCACATAATTAATTGATATTAGCTGCAGATTTTTTTCTAATGGCGAAGCCTATAATGAAAGAGCGAAATGAAAATCAACAAACACTTGTAGGACTCAGAATATTTGAGCCAACTTTTTCTCACTACAAGTCTTCTTTGACAAAAGATTTAACAGTCAAAAAGCGGAGTCCTCCCGCTGTCGTCAATAGTCCTGTTTCATGAGTTATCTAAGCGCTTGTTTGCCACTTCCTTGTTTTTGCAAGTAATAACTTTGTTGTGGAACAAACTTTAGGCCATTGCCTTTATGTGCGCACTTACGAGGTTCAGAGGCGCCGAATTGGAAAATGTTTTATCGCTGAGAATTATTAAGTATCTTGCTAACAGCTGTGAAAACAGTCTTCTCTGCCGTTCGTTATCACATCTTTTATTTTGATACTGATTTAGATCTTTCTCGATTTGATAACTTTGTCCCAATTCATTCACTCAGTCAGTATTTTTGATTTTATATTTATCAATATATATAAGATTAGATGATTAAGTCATTTTTGCTTTTATGATTTTACGTTTTTCTTTGTCTTTAAATTTCCCTCCTTAATACAGTAGTAGCGATGGACCTAATACGTCTGTTAGCTTCCTATTCAACAACTATCTGTGAGCGAGGAAATCTGTCACCGAAGTTCGAGTGTTAGGATTAACCACCAAGGTTTGTTTCCAGGTTCTACTACTGGAAATACCACGTTGTCCGAACGAAGATTTTCTGTCAATATAGGACCCTTCGAGTCAGCTTCAAAACCATACTTAACCTTGACAACTTAGTTCAGTTTCATATCAGGACGATTATTAAAAATCTTGCCAATTACATGTTTATATTCATGTTTTGTTGCAAGACTAACAAGATGCTCAAATGTAAGTAACCCAGTGAGAATGTGGCCTACCGACCAAATGCTGAACGCAAGCAGTTTATGCACTATTCTTTACACAACGATACAAAATGAAACTGAGGGGAATCAAATCACAAAATGGAAATGGCTGCCTAATATCATTAATCTCAAATGAAATCAACCAGCCTGATAACATGGCTTCAAGTTGATCAGTTGTCCACGCGGTGTAGCAAGCTTTCCCATTTTCTTAAAACCTAAGTTGTTTGCATCCGGTTCCCTTACTTTGGTTCAACTCCAGAGTGCTCTAAGACAGTTCGAGCTGCTGAGCTCGATGCTGTGTTAAAATTGTTTGATTGGCTTCCACAAATTATGGTTGTGTTGTGACTTCCTAGCTCTAGGTCGTCTTGGCTTTACTTTAGCTGCAAGTGCGCCAGTCTTTCCAGATTCCTTAATCAATCACGAGAGTGTTGCCCTTGTAAATAACTTCCAATTTCGATAGCAAGCTTTTACAAAAAAAAGAACGTTGTTGTAAACTGTAGCTCTCTATCACTGCAGAGCGCACACGCTACCGTGTTTATCATTCAACGGTCCTGTTAGCCCTTCCTTGTTTACGAACGCAGTGGAAAGGGACGTAATAGACGTTAGACTATCAGCCCACCCAGTATGTTTTAACTGAAGAGATAAGATGTCGTCTGGAATACGTTCAGTTATACCAGTGTACCCAACATTATGTATCGTAGTTGCGCCATGGTGAATATGAAGAGTATAGTTTAATATTAGTAATGAGATCCCGTAATGGAGATGTTTATTTATATTATCTAGGTTATATATATTATCTAAATTTTGCATCAAGCTATTACGCTAGCGACTTCACAACATTTTTTCCTAGCAGAACCCTGTTATTCCTATTTTCTTGAAATAGTAGCGATAGTACGATAGAACTAAAATTAGTAGGACGAGTGTGAGTGAAAATGGTGTAAACAGAAGTCCTGTCAATTTCATTATGTTCCGATAATTGGCAGACATCAAGATACATAGCTTAGTTAGGATATGCGCGATCCGCTTTTCTAACAAACTGCATTGTCTTCAATGCACCGGCAGAAATATAAGTCTGACTTCTTGATCACCGTTTGAAGTATGCACTGCATTCCTCCTGATTGTCCTGGAAGGGTTGAACCAAGCTGAGAATTCTTTGAAACGCCTTTATGGCAATTCCTGGAGGGGGGTTCCCATCAGGTCTCACGTTCTCTTGTAAATGGTCGATAGTTTCACCATGATGTTGCCACTGTGGAGCGTTCCAGGGTCTGCTTGCATTTCTCGTCACTCTGTTCTGTGCATTGAACTTAAGTCAATATTTGAGCCTTCATAACTCGGGACTAACGATTCTGTTTTGTTCTCCTAACTTTAATGAAGAAACAACCACCTTAAAAGTCTTTTACAGAAATTTGAGCCAGAAAATGGAATACGTTTTTTGTTTTCACAATATACTTTCTTGACGGATTGAGCATTTTTGCTTTATATTTTTAATTACTCGAGGTAAACTAATTATCACGATTCATTCTTTTTTCGCAGTCAGTAGTATACGAAACATGCAGACTGAAGCGTTTCAAGGCAAAGTTGTTTAATTAAAAGGCTATCGAATTAGAGTGAAATGCGTGACATTTGCTGAACGGAAATTTAGGAATCTGAAGCGTACGTGAAACGACATTCTGAAAACATAAATTCAAGTCGGTGATGCTAATCTTCGTGCTAAGGGACATATTAAACTTGGTGGTATATAAGCCTAAGTACACCCAACTCTTTAGAACTGCCTAAATTGATATGTGGTTAGCTTTTAGAGAAGAACGTGAATCGGTTTCATTCGAACGCGACCATAAGCATTTACGGAAGTTTATAACTCCAAGAGCGTGTCAACTGAAACGGGTAGCACCATAAGGTTGTCGACAATAGACCGTTCACTGGTGGGCCAGACTGCATAGACGTTCGAATTAACGATAAACACGACATATAATATATAGTAAGGAACACAGATATTCAAACTGTATAGAAATGCATACACGTTTCACGTGAAAATTTATCTTGTATTTTTTGCTTCCGTCTGTTCAGTGGAAATGTTCATAACGTTAAAAACAGACTGGATATGTCGGTTACGCTTTAGATGCCGCGTTTAATGATTTTGTAAATCAGCTGTCATTAGAGAAGCCTTTCAAAGAAATTCAAGCCCTATCATTGATCGTCACCATTTTCACCAACCATTTAATTTCAAGGTATGGCATTTTCCGCGTGGCAAGTTTTGAGTTCAATGTCAGTGGTGTTCGTAAATTGTGGCAGAATTTGAAATTCGAATTCGCCTCCCACTAATACTTGAAGTAAGCAATGTTAAAAAGTTTACCATTAGCAGTGCGAAGATGTCACAGACCATTACCACCTACGAATGCTTGACCTGCATAGATCTCGGAGAGTGCAATCAACGGACCAGATGTCGACGGCAAACGTTAAGTTGCTGTCAAAGCCTGTGAGCAGCTCTTCCGGGCTTATCGTCCGGATGACGGTAATATGGTTTCTTGCCATTTTCTTACCTGACTTTGCTCCTGATATAATTGTTCACCGAAAGTTTCTTATTGTAAGCAGCCTATTTAATATGACGAGATTCAATGAATAAACCAACATATGCATTGAGCTCAGTTTCTCGTGAATGTAATTTAGTCCGTTGCCAAGATGCTGCACGAGCAATTTTATGATACGCGATATTGGCTGCTTCACGTTTATGCGAGATGAAAGTATATGAGCTGGCGTTCCTTAGTTGAAGACAGTTCCACGCATTATGTAAGTGAGCACTAACTGAATGAATTTGACGATCTTCCGGCGCTGAGTATATTCCTATATGCGCAGTTCGTTAATAAAATATTTCACCCGTTAGCTGGTATCAGACAAAGATTACCTATTCTCATCACTAGATTCTTTTTTGACTTCTTCTTCAACTGGAATTTAATAAAGATACCTTTCTTCCGTGTATTGTAAAAAATTCAACATATTGATAATCATAGTTACTTTGATAACATATGTGACAATGAAAGGTACAATTACACTCAGTGCTTGCTGATATGCAGAGCCTGTAATTCAGCAAA